CTCCGCCTTGAGCGCCGCGGCCACGCCGACCACCCCTGCGGCCAGCACCACCACGTGGGTACCAGTCCGGATAACCGAGGACCTCAAAACAGCTGGCTGCGAGATGTCCGCTTTTCCCGCAATTGTAGCAAACACGCTGCCGCGCTCCTCCGCCGTTCGGAATGCCGCCACTACCAGGATGATCGGGCTTAGAGCCCGGCTGTGATGAAATACCCGCCGCCATGAACAAAGGAGAAGAACCATGTCCGTCACCAGGCCGCACGTTAGGAGCAAATCCTGTCCGCGGGAAATAGTAGAAGGACCTGTGCGGATGGAAAAACCGGCAGCAGATTGTACATTATCGTCGACGAGGGAGATGGTTCGCATCGTCTCTTCCTGGATGCAAGTAGAATAAACCCGATTTAATGTCGGGAGCGGTTCCTGGGCCAATAAATTCGAACGAGTAGCGCCATAGAGGGTTGCATCCACTCCCTTTAGAAATTGATGAACACGTCACTTTCATATTTTCGATCCCATTCGGCCTTCAAATTGCACTTACAAAGACCGCAGCTACACATGGGGGGTTTTTCATAATCGGCCAATTCTTCCCAAAGTTTGGTGATCTGACCGTAGTATGCTTCAATACTCAAACCCTTTTGCTTACAAGCCGCCAGATCTGATTTGAGTTGTTGAATTCGAGGACCGTTCTTCATTGTAAGTCGTTCCTTCAAAGAGCACCATAAATATGCCGCAAGTTCCAGTTCAACCACAGACGATCGGAGAGTGGCATCAATACTGTTCATAAGCCACGAAAGCAACAAGGCATTGTTTGCTTGCCAATCTTCAAACAATTCATCATCGTTTGCTGGACGCTCGATTGAACCATCTAAGAAACCAAACTTCTTGCGCGCTCAAAGAGCGGTGCGAATGCTACGGGACCATTCTTCGTAATTGATGTCTCCCTTTAATTGGACTTGAGTGATCAAAAGACCCGGATTGTCGCTTGAAGTGATGTCGTATGGAGAGATCGTTTTGCAGGGAACAGTAGCCGACCCTGAGCCGGTGCTGGAGCCGGACATGGCCATGTTAGTAGAGAGGAAGATTGAAAATTAATCTGTTCGAAAAAAAATCTGATGAAAAAATATTAGTTTTCTCTGATACCATGACAAGTGCAAGAAAGAAGAAAAGCAATGAACTGAGACATCAAATCTGATGTCCTGCGGCTCGCATATCTCATATATATATATATATATATATATATATATATATATATATATATATCTACAATTAGGTTTATACAATGACTTGATCCCTAAGATACTAAGATAATAAGGGTACAATGGAAAATACACATTACTAAATACCAAATACATCAACAATAACGTTTAATATAAAAAAGTAGGGCAAAATACTTTTTCCCATCCGAACTATGACGATTTTCGCGCATTACCATATGAACTTTTTTTTTTTAACAAACCACCACCTGAACTATACGGGTTTGTCAAATTGCCCTATAAACCGGATAAAAAAGTGGTTTTTATTTAAAAAAGCTGATTTATGAGGGCATTTCAGAAATTTTATACATTTTTCAAAAAAAAAAAAGAAAAGAAAAATGAAAAGATAAACAAAGAAAATAGCAACAACGACGAACTCCAATTTGCAGGCTGCACATCGGAGGGACTCGAGCATGTTGTCGTCTCCGGCGGGGATGAACTCGCTGCAGCCGTCGACGGTGTGTCCGTCGATGCCGACTGCGTGGTTCTTGAGGCACTCTCGGTAGTGGGTTTCCTCGGTGGCGGCGTGGGCTCCGACGAGCAAGGCGGCTGAAGGATGTAATTATGTAAGTTTGTGTGATAATTTCTTTATAAATAAGAAAAGTAGCTTGAAGGCTGAAATAAAGGAGAAGAAAGAACTGGATTTTGCACTTCTGTGAAGAAATTCGGTCAACTGGGCATGTTAGATAGTGTGTCATTCTGAATTCTTAATTTGATTTTGCATCATGGATTGAGCTGATTTGCGTTTAGCCGTTAATTTCATCATAGCAGATAAGTAGACTGTATTTGTTTCAGCATTATTCTCTGATCATGAACTTATGGGGCTTAAAAACGTTTCAGCATTGTCTTTGTTCACCTTCAATATAGTGTGCTACAATTTTCAGTTTATGTTAAGCAAATGTCCACATCTCACTCAGAAAACCCCATAATCAGCTAAATAATTTGTTGGAAAATATTAGGAGCTCAATTTAATTTGATCTTCCGAGCTTATGCACTCGTACATTTCAGGTATTCTTTGAACTTTTGAAAGAAAAACACAAAAAAAAAGAACGAGTAATTAATTTCGCGAAGCCCGCCGACACTCACACGGTCGCAAGCGGCATCGCCGGCAATGTAGAAGCCCTCTCATTTCTTTTCTTTTTTATATTTCTTTTTCTTTTTGAAAAATATATAAAAATAACCTAAATCAGCTTTTTTAAATAAAAACCACTTTTTTATCCGGTTTATATGGCAATTTGACAAACCCGTATAGTTCAGGTGGTGGTTTGTTAAAAAAAAAAGTTCATATGGTGATGCGAAAAAATCGTCATAGTTCGGATGGGAAAAAGTATTTTACCCAAAAAAGTATAATATGGAATATTCTTAACATAAAACTTATTTAAAAAGTGTTATGCGAAAGGTTTTTCACATAAGTGTTATGTAAAATTCTTCACATAACGCTTAGTATAAAAAAGTGTTATGTGAAAGGTTCTTCACATAACGCTTAATAAAAAAAAAGTGTTATGTGAAAAGTTCTTCACATAGCGCTTTATAAGCGTTATCTGAACAGACCAGTCTTCAGACAACACTGATTCCGATAATGCTTAAAAGCGTTATCTGTAGCAAAAAAAAAAAAAATTATCTGAAGCTTTTTTTAGCGTAGTCATTTTTACTTATATGACAAGGGAGATACTTTTATACCCTATTAAATATTTGTTCATTTTCCTAATTGTCTTTATTTATCTTTTCAATGTAGTTGAGCTACTTTGGATATTAAGAGTTGTTAGGATCATTTGGTTGCAATTATTGTTTTGTTGATTGTGTATGAAGTTTTAGTTATGTGATTTTTTTTTTCATCTTTCATCCTCTAGTTTGGTTATTGTATATTATAATTCAATTTCAAGTCGTGACGTGTAAATATTTTATTTTGCTAGTAACTATGTAATATGAAAAAATAATTTATTAGTATTGTGGAATTTTTAGATTCACATGGAACACCAACTTTCAGCCAAGAATGAAAAAATCCTAGACAATATCGTTATTTAGAAAACATGATTGTAAAACTAGTGAAAGCACATCAAATACTGAGCACAACTTCAGTTGATATTTGAAGAAAAAATATTATGTGATTTTTATGAAAATAAGTATTTAAAATTCTAGCCCAGTCTATCTTTGATTTCTGGATCCGTCCCTGACTCGTTTACATCGATAGGTACAAATTTTAAAAGTTTTATATTTATATTTATTAATTATAACTTTTTAGCTATTACATTTTTTTCTCCATTGACATATTAATAAAAATTAAGTATTATTTTATATATGATATATGATATTTATATATTATATTAAATAAGCTTACAACAAAAAAAGTTATTTAAAATTACAATAATCAATTTTTTTTACTTATAATTATTAATAAACTTATAAAATTAAATAAATATTGTTGAAATAATTAGGTTATTTGATAGGATACTTACGTCTTCCAGTTCTTGTTGAAACTTGCCAAAAACCTTCTTTGTGTACAGATTAGCCACATGTTCCATAAGAGACTGAACCATTGAAAAACACAGTATTCAAACAGAAACCTAACCTCTCATTCTCTCTCGGTGTTCTCGTCCCTCAACTCTCGGTGTTCGTGTGCGGACATTGGAGCAACGACGGCGAACGGCGAGCGGCGAGGCAGCGGGAGTGACCGACTCCGAGCAGCAACGACAAGGAAGCGTCTATTTTGCTACAGCTATGACTTCGACGACTTCCGATTGTAGCCCACCGGACGACCGGAGGACTGACCCGCCTGACTGGATTCGGTCCGAGTTTCCTGAATCGCATAAGGCTGCTTCTCCCCAATTGCTCAAAGCGTTCTCGAGTTCACGAAACCCTTGACGGCTCTACTGAGACACCAGTGTTGGAGGGGCCCAAGACGGCGGGATCACCGGGAGCGATTAGTTCCCGGGATATGTTGGACAAAACTAGGGCTCATGTTGAATTGGTCTCTGATGACGAAGAGGATGATGGTCTGGATGATGTGGTTGTGGATCGTCAAGGCCCGCTACCTGATATTCACCTTAAGGATAGCTTCTACGAGTCGTTATTGCTCTCTTGGAGGGATGTGGTTGTGGTGAAAGTGATGGGGACGACTCTCTCGCATCATCTCCTATATAACAAGATCATCTCCCTGTGGTCGTTTATGAATAGCTGTGACATGATTGACCTAGAAAACGGCTATTTCCAGATTCATTTCAACACTCATGAGGATGTTGAACGTGTTCTGGTGGGAGGCCCGTGGATTGTGTCCAAACAATATCAGAAATTTTACTTGCATGTTCAACGTTGGAGTGACAATTTCGATGCGACGTGTAATCAAATTACGTCGCTGGTGACGTGGATTCGCCTGCCGGGTATGCTGGCCCATCTATATCATAAAAAGGTATTCCGTACGATTGGCGATATTGTTGGCAAAGTGGTTAAGGTTGATCATCAAACGGCGGCCCAACTTAGGGGCATGTATGCTCGATTGGCAGTGGTTTTGGACATACGAAAGCCTTTATGCGCGAGTTCTGCCATTTGCGGGAAGGTTCAGCGTGTGGAATACGAATTTCTCTCGAACATTTGTTTCAACTGTGGTATCTATGGTCATGCAACGGCTCTGTGCCCGGATCGCTCCAATCAAGGTTCGGGGACGGCGGGCCCTCTGAATCTGTTGCAAGGAGACCGGTAGGGGAGGTACCGACCGGGGTCGCTGAGGAAGGAACGACTAGCTCAGCTAAGGTTGGGGGAGGTACCGCGGTTAAGGATGGGGGGCCCACAGTTGCTGCCAAGGGAGTTGCTAATGGGGTGTATGGGTCGTGGATCGTGGCGAAGACTATAAGCTGGCCAGCTAACAGGCATCGCCAAGGGGACAATGTGTCTGCTCAGAGGCGACATGTTGCGACTGGTGGAAATGGGTCGATGTTTGATGTTCTTCGGGAGGATGATGGCGAGGCCCACCAGTCCCAGCGTAATCCATCTTCGTCTTTTACCTTCGGGCTTCAGTCGAGGGCATTCGGCTCGGTGATGGTGGGGCCTGGGAGTAGTAAGGGAAAAGAGACTGAGTGGCAGGTGTTTTCAGGAAAGAAGAAGCCAGGGCAAGGGGGTAATAAAGATGCGACTCGAGTGGGGTCGGGGGAACAATCTCGATTCCACTCGAAGAGTCGGGTTACGCCGGTACAGGGGCCGGGACATATACGAAAGAACCCGCTGGTGAAAGGTGGTCGTAGTCAAACCCTGTTGGCTAAAGTTGTGGATGGGGCTTCATCGAGTTTTGACCCTAGTGTCACGCTGGTCACTTCAACTTTGGACTCTTCTAAGCATCAAGTAGTTCAGGTGGTAGAGCCGCCGCCTCAACCTCGGCCGAATGTTGAGGTGGAAATCTTAGACCCAAGGGACTCGCGTATGTTGGTGGATCGCCCGACTCCTACCGGTGGGGGTAAGATTCACTCCCAACACGCTGCGGTTATGCCCCCAGGTGCCCCGTCCGGGGTGGACCAGGATATGGATTTGGAGGATGGCATCGGGACGCAAGTCCCCAGCTCGATCTGACGGATGTTTTTCCAGTTACATTTACTATTAGTTTAATTATGCAGTTTGCTTCATGGAATGTGCGAGGTGCGGCATCTGATGCTTTTAGGCGTGCTTTTATTGCCCTGAAGCAACAGTCTAATCCGGATGTTTTTGTGATTTTTGAACCCATAAGTAGTGGTGTTCGTGCGGATAACTTTATTCGTCGTTGTGGCTATGCTCAGTCGTTTCGGGTCGAGGCTCATGGGTTTTCTGGCGGTATATGGGTTCTGTGGAAGGAGGAGGTGGACTTACATGTGTTGGATTGTGGTTGTCAGTTTGTACATGCTCGGGTTAGAGTGGGGGATCAGGCTACTACAGTCTCATTCATTTATGCTAGCCAGAACCCTTGTCTGCGTCAGTCCTTATGGGCTCGTCTGTCTGCCTTGGCCCAGCACACCTCTGGTCCTTGGATAGCAGGTGGGAATTTTAATTGTCTCCTTCGTGTTTCTGAGAAGCAGAGGGGGTCGGTTCGTAATTCCAATGTTAGTTCGCAAGAATGAAACTAAAAGGAATTGACGGGGGCCTTTGCTGATTGGATTTTTGATAATGATCTCCACGAGCTGCGGACGGATGGGGCCCAGGAGACGTGGTTCAGAAATGGTCTTGCCGAGAGCTCGATCGGTGGATAAGGAATGAGGTGTGGTCGGTAATGTGTCCGGACAACATGGTGTTTCATCTTCCCCGGTTGCACTCTGATCATACGCCTCTCTTGGTTCGTGCTTGCAGGGCCCCCCGACCAACTGGGTTGAAGCCATTCCATTTTCTGGCCTCCCGGCTCACCCATGAGAGCTTTGATTCTCTGGTGGAGCATGTGTGGTCCTCACGTGGGTCGTATGATGCCAAGGTTGGGGATTTTATTTCGAAGGCTAGCGAGTGGAACAGTAATGTGTTTGGGAACATTTTTCAGCGCAAACGTAGGTTGCTCGCTCGGATTGGGGGTATCCCACGCACCAGGGACTTTGGGCGAAATCCTTTCCTCCGCTCTTTGGAGCAGCGCTTGAAGGTCGAGCTTGATGAGGTCCTTTTTCAGGAAGAGTTGTTACTGCTACAGAAATCCCAGCGGGACTGGGTCTTATTTGGTGATCGTAACTCCTCATACTACCACCAGTTGCTCAAGCATCGCCGGAGGAAAAATAAAATTGTTGTTCTCCAGGACGAGATGGGCGTGATGATTGAGAAGCATGCTGCCCTGCAGTCGATGGCTGTTGAGTTCTCTAAAAACATTTATTTTGTCCCACAGTTCGGGCAGCCCGTGGTTTGCATATCGGGGTCATTTCCACCATTGGAAGTTAGCCACAGCCGGCTTATTGCGCGTGACATTTCAGAATCGAAGGTTCTTGGGGCGTTGAAGAAAATGGCTCCTCTTAAGGCGCCTGGGGTCGACGGTTTACATGCTTTGTTTTTTCAGCAAAAGTGGAAGCATGTGGGCCCTTCGGTATGTGCTCAAATTTTTGATATTTGGCGTGAGGGGCGGGTCCCATCGTCTTTAAACATGACCTTACTTGTACTTATTCCAAAGGTGGATAATTCGATGTCCTTGATGCAGTTTCGTCCTATCAGTCTGCTTAATGTGGTCTACAAGTTGTTGACTAAGGTGCTCGCTGAGAGGATTAAGCTGGTGGTTCCATCCCTCATCAATCCGGCCCAAGCGAGTTTCGTCCCGGGTAGACATATCACAGATAATATTATCATCGCTCAGGAGCTTATCCATTCTATGCGAGTGATGAAGGGAAAGCATGGGGTAATGGTTGTTAAGGTGGATCTGGAGAAGGCTTATGACTTTCTTCGATGGGAGTTTGTTCGTGATACTCTGGAGCTGGTGGGGTTTCCGAGGGCTTTTGTTGAAGCAGTTATGGCTTGTGTCACGTCGGCCTCCAAGCAACTACAATGGAATGGAGTCGTTAGCGAGGAGTTCAAACCGTCTCGTGGCATTCGACAGGGGTGTTGGTGTTATATACTTAAGCTTTGCTTTAGTGGATATTACACTTGTTAT